GCACTAATGAATAAATTATTGCAATTTTCTGTGATAAAGGATGGTGAGATGCAAAATTAATATATCTGCCTGACCATGTTTTCTTATGATACCAATTTGTGTGGAGAATATTATCTTCTACAATTAACGGAATATCAAAAAAATTAATTATGTTATTAAATGATAATTCATAAGTATATTTTAAGTTTAAATCAATTTCTTCTTTTTTGTTCACGATTCTTGGAGGCATAAAACCACTGTATGTCAGTTGTCTCAGCGTCGAGTATTTCACACAGGTGTGAATTTGGTTATCTGTTGAAGTGATTTGTATGTCAGCAGTCCACCAATGGACGTTTGTCCATTGGTAAATTAGGAGATCCTTATATCTTTGGGAATCCACAGAAGATGAACCAGGTTATGAGGAAACTTCGTATCCTGACCAATAAATGTTTTTAATTATTTTTTCAAATAAACAATTATTTTTGTGTAATTTATTTTATCCGTACTTGTAAACATTGTTTTTAAATTTATGTTCTGTTCATTGTGAAGTTTAATTTTTAGATTTATATTAAATAACATTTAAAAAGAGGTTTATGAAAAATATATTAAAACAACCCTTGTCCTCTGCCTTAGGTATTCGCGAATAATAAATCTGTTACAAACTGTACTTTCTAGCAATAAATCGAAATTAAATATTAAAATCAAATTTTCAGAACAGGGAAGGTAATTCGGACAGCTTAAAGATTCAAGAGAGGGCGATACTATACGTTGGTGGGCGTAAGAGATTACATTTGTCAAAGAGTGGTAAAGAAAATTGCTAATGAACATAATTTTAATATTCTTATACAGAAACAATTATTTTTATTTGGTATAACTTTAGAAGATTTACATCATCATTAAATCATTTTCAAATTTTAGAGCATTTTGAAAATGTTAATTTATTAAATATTGGTAAATATTAAGGGTTAAATGGGTCAAAGTGAAAAATTCGATTTTATTTTCATGTTGTATATCTTATGAACTTGACGTTCGAGGTGAATAGCAGTTTTGAAATTCACCGCAAGAATCAGGTACATTTTTAGAATTTAATTTGATCAGACAGATTTTCGTTTAACTGTAAAATGCGCATTAAGTTATTATAATATTTATGAGGACATAAATGTTGCTACTTCAAATTGCTTAGAAAAGAAGAATTTGAATTTACTTTCGCAGTGCTCTAGAATATAAAATGTCAGTTTTAATATTGCAGACAATATAACAAATGTTATGGGAATTTAAAGTTTGTTTATAAATTCGTTTTAATAAATAAAATAATATTAATAAGTTCATTTTTTTAAACATTACCTTAGATTATTTCAAGTCTTCTAATCTCTTCTATAAATGCCTTTCATAAAGATATTAAATTACTGTGAAAGAAATATTATATTTTGAATGTTCACATATATTTTTCACCTCGATTTTCATTTATTTCTTTCAGTCTTCTAATTAAAACATTCCCACTGATGAGAAAATTCTATATCATAAGCTGGGAATGATTATACATTTATTCGAGATTGATATAAAAGCACAAGATATGCAAACGAAATAAAATCGGATTTAAACCTTTCATTTTATCTGCAACTAAAGCAGGATTTATTTATTATATAACATGAAATTCATTATTTTAATAAATAAATATATACAGTATTTAATATTTTAGTTAATATCTTTTTTGAGAAAATTACAGTTTTTCCGAAAGAAAAACTTGATTTATTTTTTACTGCTTTATGTATAAAAAAAATACATGTGGTCTAGAGATGAAAAATTAAGAACATCTCACAGTGTTGCCTTTAAAAATTATAAAATTTTTTTAAAAAAGATGCAATGAGAACTTTAAACCCGTTTTTTCTAAAACCAAACAAATTTTTAAATCAACGACTTTAGATAAAAATAGAAAAAGTAAAATATTTATTTTATATAGAAAAGTGTAATATTTACCTTATAATTGACTAAACATTGTTATTATTTTATTTTTTATAACGATATTAAAGACAGAATTTATTAACATAAAAGAGACTTTCAACTGGATAATGGAAGAACTACTCTAGTTATTCATGCACACGATCGAAATCACAATTTCCAATTCTGGAAACTAAAATCATTTGCAAATAATTAAAACCACAAAAAAGAATTAGTTTGAGAAATGTTCCACATTTTAAAAGTGGCTATTCAATTAATTAAAAAAAAACGAGATAACCTTTTTAAATCTAAAATACCAATAACTGATTCTCACTTTAATTTTTATTTGAATTTTTTACGACACATTATAATTATAAAGTACTCAACCCCCTTCATTATTTATTCACTTAATTAATATGTGTGGAAAAGAAACCTCGTTGGTAAGTTTTAGGTTACCTATACATTTAAAATGAAATTCCATTTATTCTGCAGATATTTCAACTTTTCATAAAACTTAAAGTTCCATTAAATGTTATATTTAATTCATTTTAGATTTTATAAAAAAAAATTATAACTTTCAATGATAATGAAATTATTACCTTTTTCAATATAAAACTAATATTTTGCAATATTTATAAATGCTACAGTGTATAGATAAATCTGTAAAACAAATGGAAACTTGTTCTAACGTACAATTAGATACATTCGAAGTATCGTCAACCATAATTGGAAATTATGATTTTATCAATTTCACATTTTATCAAATAATTTCTTTAGCTGAATATTTTCGTTAAAGCTATTCCTTGTATTTCCATATCTTTTCGTTCTGCTTTGAAAAACAGTTGCGCGACATTATCTTCTTTGAAACTAACTTTGGAATTTAAGTAAAGGCAATGCAGACTGGTCTTCTCATGAGACGGAAACATCTTTCTCGAGTTTTTCCATGTATTAAATTTATTTTCAACGAAAACTTGTCGAGAATTAATTATAGTTCCATTTGACAGACATACATTTGAAATTAACTGCTTATTGATAGTTCCTCAACAAACAAATTAGAAGCTCATAAGATTTTTGTTTTTATTATATTATTATTCATTATATTATCTTAACAATTTTAACCTTTAAAAATATATGTTGAGATATTAAATATCACGTGAATATCCTAAGGATATCCCATGGACATCCTGAGGATATCCCATGGATATCCTGCGATATAATATCCAATAGATATTTTGTGGATGTCTTAGGGATATCCTATGGATGTCCTGTTGATGTCCCACAGACCGGAGGTTTGGATATCCTAGGGATATCCCAATATATCCTGGGGACCATTCTAGGATATCGATTATTGATATCCTTTTGTTATGAGGGTCTCAACGAGATATGAAATATCCCAAGGACATCCAGAGGATAAGCTAAACAATGAAAATTTAATTATTGCAACAAATAAAAGTAAATGCTTTTTCCATTAAAAACCCACAATTTCCAAAAAAACAACATATTTATTTTGAAATTATTTTCTTAAATAAAATATCAATATAGCAATATCTGCAGGATGCTGATGTTTTCTTCCAAAAAACGCACTCGTTCCGTCGATAAGCCCTCGCCAGGTTTAATCATCATTTCTTTATGACGGGTAGAATGTTGATTTGTAATTTAAGTTCTTCGATCTTCTAAATAAGAAATGAATGAATCATTCAAACAGTAGGGTTTACAATATCTTCACTCGTTTTTGCACTTGGCAACTTCTTCAAGATAGAATTTCTGTTAAGTGGTACAATACCACAGGCTCTAAATCCAGACTGAATGTTTACGCTCATTTTGTCTCCAATTCGATCAATTGTAGATTTTGAAAGGTTAGGAAAAACTGCTTTTGGAATCGTTCCTCAGTTTTTATTGATTTTTGACGTTTTTCTGCTTCTTTCATTGCCTTGTCAATTTGATCCCTTGAATATTTGAACAATTGAAATGAATCCATCTTTTTTTTTTGATAAATCCGCATTATGTCCGACTTTATGTTTACGGGATGATGTAACAAAATTTAAATTCTGATATTTATGGAAACTCTAACCTCCATCAGTAGATCACAAAGGAATTTCTGGTAAGATTCCTCTCAAATTATACCCTAAAATTTCCTTCCTTTTTAATTGATTTCAATTGCTTGAAATTCATTAGGGATGAGGCAAGGTCAATAAAAATTAAACAAATGAAAGAAAGAATACACATTTATTTGGGAACACATTTGCTAGTGATATCTCGATTTAATGACAAGTTTTTACCTTATAACAGAAAAGATACGGACGTAACAGTATAAACTCAAAAACGGAACTTTATTAATATTAGAAAATTACAATGGAATATTTCATCTCATCAACAGTAGGTTAAGTAAGGTTAGAGGATAATAACTCTTTTCGAGGTATGCAACTTCAACAGAACCTTGTCTTGAATGCACTTACTTCTCACCATGCAACCACTGGATAGCTTCGCTTAGCCATCCACTCAACGCAAATATCCTTGAAACACTGCCGTCTAATTGTAAGCAAAACTTCGTCGAGAACTTCCCTCAACATGTATAAAGCACTCATACCTGGACCATTCCATCGTTATTTATTCTCTCTCTCTATCAAGAGCGATACACAATGTGTATCTCTTTCGTTCGAACTTTGTAATGACAATATGAACCTGACGGACAATAGTCCTTCTCTTAGTTTTCCGAGACTATGAACCCGAAATAATAATAATAATAAACGAGAAATACAATTTCGAGCTATTGTCTAATAACTAAAGGACGAAAACTATTTTCTACTTAACTAAATAGCACACTGACTCGTAATATTTTATTGACGTTTAAGTAAATGACCATTCAGTACAAAAATGTATGTTCATACAGATTAATAGTTGTCACGTTGATAATCTCAAAGTTCAATTGGTTTCATAGTTTTATTTGTACATATTTGTTGATTCTTAACATGTATTCAATATTATACTATATTTTAATATTAAAAAATTTTTAATTTTTAAAAATTTCGTTCAAAACAATTTTTTACTTGTGAAATTAAAAATAATTTTTATTTCTATTTCAGACGGAGGTCGAAAATAGTAATAGTGTCAGCAAAACTGGAAGATAGTGGAAGGTACGAATGCGTGGCTGAAAGCACTTCCGGTCACCAAGCTTCACTTGCAGCCCAACTTCTAGTCACTCAAGATATTACAAATCGAGAAACCAGTAAGTACATACTTTCAAGAAACTGTTTTTACTTTTAGCAAGTAGGAGATCCTACAATCATAAAATTTAAAATACGTTGCATAAAATGCTCTAAATTTCTCATTCCAATTAATCTAAAGAAGTTTATTCGAATACTCATATATAAACAAATTAATATCGTTGGTAGCATAAATTCTCTTTTGAAATAAAATGTACAGATTTTAAGTAATTTTAGAAGTAAATTGAAGATTTATGATACGTATTAATAGAAATGCTTATATATAAATAAACATTAAACTTTTACATGAAATATAGCTAAAATAGATAAACTCAGTTTGAACTTGTCATCAAAACTAATTATTTAACTAATAACACAGGTTTACAAATTCGGGTCAACTTTTGGACCCAGAAAGGCAAGAGCCGTATCACGTCAAAATTCAAAATGGTGGATCCAAAATGGCGGGAAAAAAAATGAAAAATCAATTGGATATGCTTGAAACTTGTTACTCGGGGGTTTTAACGGTCGCTGATTACGAATATGGCATTAGATTTTTAAAATTCAAAATGGCGGATCCAATATGGCGGATGAATTTTTTTAAATTATACAAATTCGCTTAAAAATCGTTACTCAGGGGTTTTTGGGGTCGCTGATTACGAATATGACCTTGACCATAAGATTTTCCATCAGTGAAACTATAATTCTTAACGTAACATCTTTCATGTTACAATGAACTTACTAAATTTACATGAAAGATATTACTCGAAGAGTATTAGTTTCACTGATGGACAATCTAATGTCAAATTAAAAAAAATAAATTTTTTAAATAGTTTTTAAAAATTCCGATATCATATTATATCCACCATTTTGTATTTTTAAAAATCAAGGTCATATTCGTAATCCTAGACCCCAAAAACCCCCAAGTAACGATTTTTAAGCGAATTTAGATAATTTAAAAAAATTAATCCGCTATTTTGAATTTTTCTAAACTAATGTTATGTTTGTAATCAGCGACCCCAAAACCCCCGAGTAACGAGTTTTAGGTGAATTGAAGCAATTTTTAGAAAAGTCGTCCGACAAATTGGATCCGCCATTTTGAATTTTAAAAATATGACTTCATATTCGTAATCAGCGATCCCAAGAACCGTGAACAAAGTTATGACTTTTTTTATAAGTAATGTAGTTCAATTAACAATAACAATTTTGTTGAAAGAATCAAAAATTAAAAATTTTTAAATCTGAAAACAAATTTGAGATCCTCGGAAAATTTCCGATCGATTAGGTATTTTGACACTTTAATTTTTTTTTTATTTAAGAACTATCAAAAGTAATGTTATTATTTAAATGTTTTTAAAATATAATAATTATAACAGAAAAATTTATTTTTCCTGTTGTTATCATTGATATTATTATTGTTATTATTGATTTTTTGCAAGCTGATGATAACAATAACACAGAAAAAAAGGTGGGTAAAAAGTTGTAAAGATAGAGGATAAAAGTCGTTAGGATACAGGGTAAAGGATAAAGTGATGGATAAAAATGTTACTAAAATATTACTAGAAAAATGGATGTCATATTTGAGTAAACTGTCTAATTTTAATAAAAATATTAGTAATTTTACACTTAACTTATTAAATCCACAAATTTTTTATAAATAAGTAATTGCATGTGAAAATATATTGCCTATAATTATTGTCTATTAATAAAAATATCTTTGACTAATACAACTGACAGCTGACGACAGTGCGTAAATAATCAGAACTGGGAAATTACAACTCAACGTCTGTATTGTTGCACGAAAGCAGAGTTGGGTAGTAACTGAATTTTTTGTGCATATTAGGCTGTGTCAGTTCATCGAGATATTTCGAGTTCAAGATATGACGTCAGAGGCCTGGAGGGACAACAAACAGACGACACAATGTTATTCTTACAGGGAAGAAAATTTGTTTCCACTTTCATCAATTTTATTCATACTTTAAACACGGAAAACGCTTGTTGACATAGAATAAAATTAAAATGTGTGTTGATAATTAATGAAACAGCCTAATATGCACAAAAAATTCAGTTACTACCCAACTCTGCTTTCGTGCAACAATACAGACGTTGAGTTGTAATTTCCCAGTTCTGATTATTTACGCACTGTCGTCAGCTGTCAGTTGTATTAGTCAAAGATATTTTTATTAATAGACAATAATTATAGGCAAAATATTTCCACATGCAATTACTTATTTATAAAAAAATTTGTGGATTTAATAAGTTAAGTGTAAAATTACTAATATTTTTATTAAAATTAGACAGGTTACTCAAATAGGACATCCATTTTTCTAGTAATATTTTAGTAACATTTTTATCAATCACAAATTTATCCTTTACACTGTATCCTAACGACTTTTATCCTCTATCTTTACAACTTTTTACCCACCTTTTTTTCTGTGATATTATCAACATCAAATATTTTTTTGTCGACAATTTATTCATCATTTTTTATTTTTCCTCTATACCATTTAATTTATCGCGAGTTTCATGAAAAGAAACAAGTAAAACAAAAATTTTTAACTGATTAAAAATTAAAAACTCTATATTTATAAGAATATGTAAAAAGTTTTTATTGCACTGTAAAAAGAAAGTACTAAAACAGTACCGATTTTAGGTATCAAAATAGAACCAAATGACAAGTTCGTACCTGAAGTCGGTATTAAATTAATACCTTTCTTTTTACAGTGTGGCAAAGATCACGATTATGACAATTTAAATGAAATGACTTATATTAATATCTAAATAAATTATTAATAACAATTTTAATCATTGCAAATTCATATGGTAAATTATAAATAATGACATATCAAAGAATCATTTTAATAAACGTCTACAAAATCCATAATTTTCCAAAGTATAATCAAACGCAACATGTGTTTTTACTTTTGAATAAAATATGAGGGAATCATATAGTAAAATTCAATGATAATCTAATAATAATTATGAGAGCAAAAGTAGATTATAATTTTTGACAGCACCCACTAATTTTAAATTTCGTGTTTACACTTCTTAATTAAGAACTTTTGATTATTGGTATATATGTATTTTTATGCACGTAAAATAATGCATTTCAATGAACAATTGAAGCGAAAATTTTACAACGAATCTATATTCAAAATATACGACTTTGATCGAAATAAATTTTTATTATGTTCCATTCATCAGTTAATGGAAATTTCAATAGTCCGTTTATGATTCAAAGTGTGTATTTATTGCGCATTTCACAGCAAACGGAAGCTTGATTAATTCCATTCGGTTGGAAAAACATTATTTTTTCCAATATAGGCATTTGCTGAATTCCAGTCAACGATACAATATTTAAAAGTCAATAGTTTTTGTTCTAGCATATAAATATATGAAGATATATATTGGATAGTGTATATGTGTGAGTAACTTACTCAGTTTATATATGAGATATGAATATTATTATGTAAATTCAGCTTTCAGCAATCATGAATAAAATGAGATTTGAAATTATTTCTAAATTATTATATACGGAGTAAAAATTTTAGTAAGTCTTAAAAATATTTATAAAAATTTTCCAATGATAAATTAAGTAGTTCTAAAACTAGAATATACCATATTTGCAGATAATTAATTTTACAGACAATTTTTAAATAAATATGCTAAAAGAAGTAAAATTTGATGAATATGTTTAATTAAATAAAAAATATTTATTAGGAGCAGAGTAGACATATTATTCAACGAATCGTATAAATTTTAACATTTACTATTCACAGACAAAATTATACAAACGTAAAATAAGTTACAGGTTAATTATTGTGAGGACGACTATAAAGATTTATATACCTTGTAATTAAACCGACGGCGACTAAAGAGTAAGGGTTTGAATTTCAGAATGTTACGTCAGATTTTTGGTAGAAACGCAAACTTAACTTTCCACTTTCTATAACACCAGGAAATAATTACTTATTGTTAGTTGTAAAATTAAGCTATTTCATACATTAAATTTTTAATTTAGTCAATTTTAAAAATGAAACTTAAATTTTTTTGACTTTTTTTTGTTTGAATAAATTAATATAATTAAATTTTTTTGAAAAAATTAAATTCACATTGTTACATACATTAAGATGCAGACAATGTCACTTTATTTCAATTTTCTGTATACGTGTGATGCAGTAATTTAGAAACAGTGATGATCAGCTGATTCAGCCCTTTCAACACGGGGCGTTGTATACGAAACTCTCTGACACTACTAACGGGGTTGTAATTGTCATCCTTTGTCCGTTACGTGAAACTGCGGCTAGCCCTGAACCTCCTAGAGCCTTCTAGTCACTGCACCATGAAATTATCGTGTCGTATGCGTAATTCGTGGTTTATTAACGTCGACAGCATCTAATAGGTAACGCTTCACTTTACAGTTCTATTCCTTTGGTGCCTTGTAAGCAAGATTGTTATTAAGTTTGTTTACATATAAACTCTAAAATTAAGATTTTAACATTGAAATTCCAATTAATTAATATACAATTCGACTACATCAATGTAATTAAAATCAGTTTTATAACTTTTTTGAATATTTAAAAATATTTTAATATTATTTGTAAGTAAAATTATAATATATAATTTCTAAATTGAATCAAAATTAATTGTTATAAAGATAATTTAAGTTATCTTTTGAAGAATGACGTAAAATTGTTTTTCATTTTTGTTTTTAGATAAAAGGAACTAAATTATTATGACCATGGCGAATTCGAAAAACTGTGTTTGATCCAAACGGGATTCGAATTTTGTTTATTTTAGTTAAAAACGAAACTTTGCTGATAATCCATGAAATATAATAAAAAAAATTCTTAAATTCGAACAGCATGCAGTTCAAACTCGGTTTTCTGAATCAGGGATGCGATTCTGTAACCTGATTTCACTTTCACACAATTTTCACTTCACTTTCACTTAATTTTCACTCAATGTTCAATTCACTTTCAGTCGGTTTTCACTCCACTCTTACTTTACCTTTACTCGTTATTCA